GTTTGTAGCTAGGGAGTGTGCGCCAACACTGGAGGCGTTTAAGAGAAAGTTAGACAGCCATCTGTCAGATATACTTTAATTTGGATTCTTGCATTGAGAACTGAAAGTAGTTAACTTGTTGGACTCAATGGCCTGATAGGCCTCTCCCAGGTCCATTATTCTACAGTTCTATGACTCTGCCCTTTCATGGAACTCCCAAGTGGCAGCAGTCATGAGGGCCGCATTTGCATAATGTGCCAGCTACAACCTTTCCTAAGTCAACTTGACATATAAACAGTCATCAACGCCTTAGTTATATCACATCTTGACTAATACATCATGCTCTACATACTGTAGGACCATCCCGAAGATAGCTAAGGATGCCACAGCTGATGTCACACCCAGCATCTAGGTCACTGAGGGCAAACCTATGGCACGTGGGCCACAGCTGGCACACAGAGCCCTCTCTGTGGGCACATGAGCTGTAAGTCGCCATAGAGAAATACTTACTTGTCCTCTGATCCCAGATTTTGCCACTCCCCTCTGCTGGTGCAGTGGTCCAGCGGAGGGGGGCAATGGCGACCATTACCAGTCTAAGCTCAATGGGGGATTGGAGGACCAGTAAGTATTTATTTGTTAATACCGCCCATGGGGGGGGGGGGAAACAAGCATTTAACCCTTGCAGTGCAGGAGCAGTTGGTTTTTTTAAAAACTAAAACCTCAGCATTCGTCATTGTGATCATACATCCCTGATACTGAAAGACCTGCACTGGCTGTCAATTGTTTGGAAGGTCCAAACCAAACTGTTAGTCTCAACTAGGATTCTGCACGGGGGGGGGGGTCTTTAATATTTCTTAACACAGCTTCAGTCCAGCAGCGCAGATATTAGTCTACCAGTTGAAGGCAGGCTGGCTAGATTTCCAGGCAGCAATAAAGGAAAGGGTGGGGGAATTCCTCCAAACATCGGTGAAATAAAAGACAAAAAAAAAGCAGAGTAATCAAAAATATGAAATAAAAAAGAAATCTATAATTTTCATTCTCTTTTGGAGTCCCAAATCTCCTGTCTTTCAGAGGATGTCTATCATAAAGCCATGAAAAGCTAAGAAACAAAAAAAAGCCCCCCCCTTGGTGTTTTCTGCCACGCGGGCTAACCCAAATGTCCCACCTCTAGTATTAATCTTTCAAGACCCAAACAGCTTCTGCCTTGGATGTCTAAGAGACTCCCGCTCTTATTATGAGCCTCTATGGAATGTTAAGATTTTCAAGAAAGGACCTCTTAAAAATACCTTCAGTTTCAAGGGCTCGTCTAACAAGCACTTGGAAAAGAAGGGATTCTGCTATGCAGCTCCCAAGCTATGGAATACAATCCCTCTGAGTTGCTGAAAGATTTGAAGATGGGAGTAAAAACACATCTCTTAAATTGGCCGATGATATCTAACCATCCCCGTGGTATTGTTTTAACTGGACTTTTATTGATTTCTAATTGTTTTTATTGTATTTATTTGATTTTAGCAGCTTTACAGTGGGACTGATGGTTTGGTTTCATTATTTTCAGCTAAATGTGATTTGTATCTGTTTTTATTCTATTAAGAAGTTTGCAAGTTGCCTTAAGCACTATCTTTTTATTGCAGTGGTTCTGAACCTTGGGTCCCCAGATATTCTTGGATTATAATTGCCGGAATCACTGGGAAGCCCAGCTAAGTGATGAAGGCTTCTGGAAGTTTTAGTCCAGGAACATCTGGGGACTCAAGATTCGGAACCACTGCTGTCGACCATCTTGGCTGCTAACATGGGTGTCATCAACATTCAGGGTGGCTTTTGTTATATCAATTTTGTCATCTTCCCCCCTTTTTTTCAACATGGGTGTAAGGTTTGGAACCAATGGTTAAGTGGAAAAGTGGAGCAGAAATATAAATCAACACCACCATCATCTTAGAAGTCTGGTTAAGTGGAAAAGTGGAAATAAATCAACACCACCATCATCTTAGAAGTGCAAAGCTGAAAAGGACCCTATGGATCATCAAGGCCAGCCCCTTTCAAAGAGGCACAATGAGGAATCGAACACCTAACCTCTCACTCTGCAGCCAGATGTCTAAACCATTGAGCTATCCAACAATTCTACTACTACTACTACTACTACTACTACTGATGATGATGATGATGATGATGATGATGATGATGATGATGATGATGATGATGATGATGATGATGATGACGACGACGACAACCAGTTCCAGTTCGACCCAAATCAGTTGAACACAAGTGCCCAACAAATGAAAAAAAAACATTACTGGCTTTGGTCTACCATGGATAATGTTTGAAAAAGAGTATTATTCCAAACAAAAACAGAAGCAAATAGCTTCCATACAAAATGAAGCTAGATGGATTCCTTCCCAAAATGTCTCTATAGACCGAAGAGGCGTTCACATGTACCGCTGAAACTCTGCTACCCTAGTTGAAGTGCCCATCTTACAGGAGGGGGGAGGCAGTCCAAATTCCCCAATTTGAATGAAGCAGATCAACTGATTGTGGGGGAAAGAAGCTTTATATAAAACCACTCCTATCTGCTGCAAAATGGAGGGGACGTGGTGGCGCTGCGGGCTAAACCACAGAAGCCTGTGCTGCAGGGTCAGAAGACCAAGCAGTCGTAAGATCGAATCCACGCGACGGAGTGAGCTCCCGTCGCTTGTCCCAGCTCCCGCCAACCTAGCGGTTCAAAAGCATGCAAATGCAAGTAGATCAATAGGGACCACCTCGGTGGGAAGGTAACAGCATTCTGTGTCCAAGTTGCACTGGCCATGTGACCACGGAAGATTGTCTTCGGACAAAACGCTGGCTCCATGGCTTGGAAACGGGGATGAGCACCGCCCCCTTGAGTTGAACACGACTGGACAAAAATTGTCAAGGGGAACCTTTACCTTTACCTTTTATCTGCTGCAAAGGGATGAGAAAGGGGCAAATTTAATACTTTTGTTGTTAGAAAAAGAAAGAAAAAAGAATTGCACCAGTAGAGCTTCAATTTGGCTGGTTTCCCCCTGCCCCCCTGTACCTCTTCATTTTTCATTCTCTTAGCAACTGATTATCATGACCTCAGGGGCCATTTTGGACAGCATAGTAAGATTCCAACCACGCTTATACTTTCAGTTGAAACCTCTTATCATGCTGCTCTAAAAAGTACAATGGGGGACATTCAGGTGGCTTTTCATGGAGAACTTATTTCCAACTTTGGGACTCCTGACGGTCTTGAACTATAACTCCCAGAAGCCCTAAGAAATATAGCCTCAAGGGTGTGTTAAATAAAAGACTAGAAGGAGGATTATAGTCCAAATTGGACAAGGTACTTAGTAGAAATCCTATTTTGAAAGGGAAATTTAGGTGCTTTTTCTTTTACAGAGAAGGAGGGTGGAATTACATGTGCCCTCTAGAAAATGTATCACTTAAGATCTTTAGGAGGTAAAAAACCTACTAATGTTATTTTTCAAACATTGTTTTTTTAAAAAAAAAACATTGGCGAGAATTCATGTTTGCATATAGGAAATCATGTAAGTCTGGCTGACTAATTACTGTTCTTTAATGAGGTGCTGCTGACACTCTTGGGCATACAGTACATGCCTGATTGTACGTTCAGGCGCACAATCAGGAACATGGCATCTCATTAAGGAGCAGAATTTTGCTGCTCAAACTTATGCAAAGGTAAGTTGATCATAAGATTCTGATTGTTAGTTTTGGAGATTCCTCCCCCCACCTGGCATTTGCCCAAAGCAGTGATGAGTTTTACATTGACACATTTGTTTTAAGGCATTATTTCCAAATAATGTCTGAACCCCAGAGAGGCCCGGAGGGAAAAGACACGAAATCGGGCCTTCTCGGCAGTGGCTCCTCGCCTCTGGAACAGATTCGTGCGGCCCGTACGCTGGGTATCTTTAAAAGCCAAGTAAAAACATGGATGTTTATTCAGGCCTTCCCTCCAGTCAATACTTGATTCTCTCTTCTCATTTCTCTTTAATTTATTTTTACTCTATTTTCTTGGTTTCCACATTTTCATTTGTAGATTTATGTAACTATGTGTTTTTATTAATTGTTTGTATTATATTGGAAGCCGCTCAGAGTGGTCGCATAGACCAGATGGGCGGGATACAAATAAAAAATAAATAAATAAAATAAATTCTTTATAACTGATTTTAATGCATCATTTCTTACAGAGCACCAAGCATGGCAGTGTTCGATAGACAAGACTGACTATTTCGTGACTGAGATGTGAGACTTATTAAGGGGAAAATGTATGTCTGCCTTGAAAATCAATCAGAAAAAAAAGCAAATTAATTTGCAAGTTCTGAGAGGTGAGAAAACCTCCTGCTGTAACTGTTACATGCAATCAGATCTTAAGGAATTCCTTCTTGTAGTAACAAGTCTATAAGTATAGATGGCTTTAAGAAGTGATGGTGGGTCATAATGATCTAGTAAGTTCATGGCTGGTAGAAGGGGCACAAATATCAACCCAAGATCTCATGGTTCAGGTTTCAAGCTGTTGTACATTCCACGATATTTCTCAACATGAGGTGTCCCATCAAATGATGCATTAAAAGAGTGGTCTTTTAGACCAGATGGGCGGGGTATAAATCAAATAAACAAACAAACAAACAAACAAACAAACAAACCTTTTGTGCCGTTCAAGGGCTGCATCTAAATGGCCTTATCCCTGAGACACAGTTGGACAGAGTGTGCTAGGGAATCCTTGCACACAATTCAGTTTCCGCTCTTGAGAGGATTTAGCTTAAGCAACAGTTCAATTAAGAGGTTCAAAAGATAAATAATACAGTTTCTTAAAGCTTCTAAAGAAGAAAAATTAGAGCTTAGAAAGATTAGTCGTTTGGGCAATGACTCTCAAAATCCCTCAGATACCACAGTCAGAGAGCACGCTGCTTAGGGGATTCAGTAGAAGGCAAAAAAGAAGTTACTTTGACAAGCTCTTGGTAAAATGGAATTGTTGAGCAAATAGGGGAAAAAAATAATAACCTTACCCTGCCCACTAGCACAGGATCCGGTCCTGTATACTCTTCTATTACAAAAAACTGATTCCACACCCATCCTCTTTTTGAACGGTGGAGAACTTGCCCTTCCTTCCCTTTTTCATGGTGACCATGGAGTGATGGCCTCGAATGGTTCTGTTTTTCGGTCATCGTGGCAAGGCTGTAGCACACCATTCCCAGACAAATAAGAGCAGCGTGTAAACAGTGGTCCTCCTTCATTTTTGGTTAGTGTATAGGCACCAGAGTATCTCCCAGTCTTCCTTTCACTGGGTCACCACAAGAGTAATCCTCTATAATCCACTGGAAGTTTTAGAGGCAGCTTCCGGTGTCCAAGATGTCACCACTTCTTAAGCGCATCACTTTACTGCTGTACGATCTCCCAAATTGTCTCCTAGAAAGTGAAGAGAAAGAAGCCGAGAAATGGTTTAGTTTCCTTTTTCTTTATGTATCTATTCTATGCTCATTGACATTTCAAAAAACAGAGTAAAGCAGCAACTTAAACCAACTGAAGTAGCACAAGTATGAGGATCTTCAGTAAGTAATACTTTGTTACCTTCTTCTTGTCTGTCATGGCAGGAATGGGGCACCGTGAGTGGAATCGTTGGAAAAAGCCACTCCAAGGAACACCACATGCCCATTAAATGGATTTGTTTCACCTTTTAGGGGAGGGAAGGACTTTCACCTGGGCCTTAGCCTGCTCAGTAAAAATACTAAGTGTCTACAATCGCTTCCCTTCTTTTTATATCCTTATAGATTTCTCCGTCATCTAAGTGCACTGTCAAATCTACATTCTGCGCTGCAGTTCAAGTACCACATATCTGGATTTTAGCTTCCCAAGAGAAGCACAGCTATTTAATTGTCTGCTTTTCTCCTTTTCATTATTTCCCCTCTTATTTAATGCTTTTGGCAAGAAAAATATAAAAAAGAATAGAACTGGAAACAGACAAGAGGGAAATTATAGCACTCAGAAGAAAAATGAAGGAATGGCAATTGTCTTGAAAAGCATCATTACATGTGGGTGATCACGGAACAAAGGAAAGCTAATTGTCTAAGAGAACAAAGGAGTTGATAGTGAAAGTCCAAGCCAACGGAGCCAACTGGCAATGCCCTAAGGGCTCTTTTATTGACTTAGCATGATTACATAATACTGTATATTATGAGAGAAACAGATAGGATACTAGTTACCTAATCATAACTTGTTGTGTTTGTTTAGTCGTTAAGTCGTGTCTGACTCTTTGTGACTCCATGGACCAGAGCATGCCAGGCCCTCCAGTCTTCCAC